TGGTCCCGGCACCACACACGCCGGACTGATGTTGCACACCTGTGATCCTAGCACTTAGCAGGAAAGACAGGAAGACGGGGAGTTCCAGGTAATCCTGGACTACAGAGGGGTTTGAGACCAGCCTGAGCTACAATAAAATATCATAATAAAAAGAACGAAATGCAGCTGGGTGCAAAGGAGCACGCCTACAACCCCAGCACTCAACACGGGAGGCAGAGGCAGGTGGATCTCTGTGAGTTTGAGGCCAGCCTGGTCTACAAAGCGAGTCCAGGACAGCCAAGGCCACATAGAGGAAGCCTGTCTCAAAACAAAAACAACAAACACAAAACAAATGTTAAATGTAAGTGACTGGCTGCAGAGGGACCCTGCTGCCTCTCGGGTACAGCCATCCGTTTGTGGTCGTGGGACTTGTCTCTTGCTAATTGGTAATTAGCAGCAGAGGGCGCTAGAAGGACAACAAAGAGGTTTTCTTTCTAACTTGGATGGTGGGCACGGCTTCCCAACGCTCCCCTCAGGACTCTAGCTTTGCAACAAGGCATGTGTCTGTGTGGGGAGCCAGGAGGTGATCCCCAGGAAGCCCGGCAGGCAAGGCGCTTCTCTTCCAGGCTGCATCCTTTCCTAGGCCTGCATTCTGGTACGGGGGTAAGAACTTTCTGGATGGACTCCTTCCCTGGGGCTGCAGCTTGGCCTTCCCAGGGTTGGTGGCCATGGCTTATCTCTGCTATTCCTGTGGGGTTTTGGTTTGTTTTGTTATTGTTTTAGATATATTTCTCTGAAATTTAGTTAATGTACATATCTATTTTTGTGACAGGGTCTCACTACATTGCACTGGCAGACCTGGAAATTGCTATGTAGACCAGGCTGGCCTTGAACTCACATCCACCTGCCTCTGCCTCCTGAGCAATGGGATTAAAGGTGTGTGCCATCATGCCCAGATACTTAGAGATTCCTTTACTCCACAGTAGCCAGTTCTTTGCTATTTCTAACCCCTGCCAGTCAACAGAACCTTATGTTAGATGTGCTCTGTCAGATCATGGTCCCGGCATTTCTTGGTTGGCCCTGGATGGGCCAACCAGAAAAGCCATGAGCCACTCCTGAAGGCAGAAGGATGAGTAAAGAGACCCCAGGAATAGCACTAGGCCCTAGAGAGGCTTGTACTCCCTCTCCTGGCCTGGGGAACAAGGTCTGGTCACAAGCCTGTTGGGCTTCTTTATGACATCACCCAAAGCAGCCATCCTATCCCATCTCTCTCTGACCACTCTATGTGAAGTGTGTCTGGTCACACAGGTTGGCTTTTTAGCTCACAAATGAAGATCAAGAGAGATGGTGCAGGGGAGAATTGTAAGTTCTAGGCTAGCCAGGGAAGTCAATCAGTCCCAGTGTCAAAATATTCTTTTTAAAAGAGGCTGGGAATATAGCTCAGTGGTAAGCGCTGCGGAGGACTGAGGCCCATCCCAGCGCTGCAGAAAAGGAAGTGTTGCTTCATCCCTGGAGCCCTGTGAGGAACAGCAGCACACTGTCCCGTGGAGATCACAGGATTGTTGATGGCACCCGCGATCCCTAGTGCATGGGGCTTTGGGAACCTAGGAATGCGAAGGCATCTTTTCACGAGAGGAATGCACACAGCTGTAGCCAGGAGGGAGTGTGGTAAACTGGCAGGAGGGCTGGGCGCGGAGCATCTGGTGCCTCCCTCATGAAGCAAGCTCTCTAACTCCTGGGTATGGACTGCTCGTGTGGCCAGGAGACGCCAACAGATGTGACTCCAGCAGGGAGCAGAGTGCAATGATGGGCTTGCCCTTTCTTGCCGTGAATGAAGTCGTCCTGCCGTCACCTGTGTCCAGTCCAGGCTGGTCTCCCCGGGAGTTCCAGGCCGGTCTCCCAGAGAAGTCCCGGCATCCCCCGAGGCGCCTGGCTGCAGGAGGCTGCGGCCCCGCCTCTAAGAGCATGCAGTCCCCACAAAAGCCAGCACCCCTGCACCCCACAGGAGGGTGTCCCCTAGTGCAGGTCTTGGCTGCCATGCCCCTGCCTCCTTCTGACACTAGACTCTCAAATAAGCTGCTGTCTATGTTCCAGAGCTGCCCTGATTCGCCCAGTTCCTACTATAGATTCAGTGTCTGCCCCTCCCAAGCTCAGGCTCAGGGAAGATTGATCCTTCTCCACAGCAGAGCAAGGCTAATCCATACAGGGAAGGCTGAGGCCCTGCTGAGGTCAGGGCCCGCCCACCCTGTCCTGTGTGCTTCATCTCGGACACGTCTCCCCTTTCCCCGTGCGTGTGATCTGCTCCCTCTCTCTGGGACAGCAGCTGCTGTTCCCATCAGCATATCCCTGTGATGCTGACCCTGAGCTCTCGGCTCCCAGTGATGTCAGCCACTCTCAGGGAACACCCCAGCCCTGCCCTGATCGGCAGCTGTAGCAGCTCCAGGCTCTCCCTCGCCAGGGTTCTCCCCTGTGACATGGGAGTCCTGCCTCTGCCATTACTCACTCCTGCGCCTGCCTCCTCCACCTGGGGGGGGTGTCCCATGGTTCCCCAGTGAGAACTTCCACCCAGCACGGTCCTCATGCCTCAACTCAGCTCACTTTCTGGTAGGATCTGTTAAAAAAAGAAATTAACCCAGCGCCATCATGCCTGGTCCGCACTTGAGCACTGAACCTGGCTGCAGAAACTGTAGGCTGTGGTGTGCCTACTCCAACCGAATACTGACTGCAGCCGCACCAGCCTAGGCGGAGAACACCCAGCTCCCTCCCATTGCTGAGTCTCCCAGAGCGCCGGCTCCCGTCCCCTCAGTTACGTGCTTAGGTATACAATGCCAGGATCTGCCCCTGGCTCAGTCATGTGGCACTCCAGCTACAGCCATAGGCAAGTTCATATGTATATTCATCTTCCTACGCCCCTGCTTGAAGGCAGGCTATGGCTCATTGCTGTGGATTGCGCTATCATTGTGTACTGTGCTAGCCCCTGATCCTCACACGGTCTGAATTTTAGAGCCACCGCAGAGGGACCTTCCTCCCTCTCTCCCTCTCATCGTAGCTCCACAGGCCTCCATTGTGCTGAGACTGTTCCCAGCTGCCCAGGGATGGGCACTTTGGGAGTTTCCAGTATTTTGCTGCCACAATGGGAGGGACTGGCCCCATGCACCTGTCATTTTGTACAATTGCTGGATCACAGATCAGACGGAGGCCCAGACAGAGTTCAGCTGGCTTCCAGATCTGTCTTCTAGTCTCAAACCCCCTCCACAGGGCTCTGCCAAATGATACCCTCAGTGCAGGAAGAGAGGAGGCCTGGTTCCCAGCAATCGTACCCAGGGTGCTATCATTACTCGGAGTCTTGAAAGGAGCCACAATCTTTTTCTGCAGACTTCTCAGACTGAGCTTAGCTTGGTTTCTCTCCCGAAACCCCCAGGTTCTCAGCCCCTCCCCCATCCACCCAAGGCCTTCCTCATCTCCAGAAGTATCGACTCAGACCACAGGCTGAGTCAACCTGCTTTTAACACAAGCCATCTCTGTCCACAGTAGAATCTTCCCTACCCCTCCTCTCTTCCTGGGGTACCTCAGTGCTCCTTGAAGTCTGGGGCTCCTCTCAGCTCCCATTCTCCAGGCCCCAAGTCATTAACTCCTCTTCTCAAACTCTCTAAGCCCTCCCTTGACAGCTGGACTGAATTTGGCCCTGGCCGAGGCCTGCCCTCCTACGGGGTCTCCCCCACACCCTGCTTTCACCCGGCAAGTCCACCACTGTTTCCTACAGCCAGCCTTTGTCCAACCGCCGCTCAGTCCAGGTCCGTGCTCGGATCCTCGCCAACTGTCTTCTCCCTTAGCTGGGCCCCTCATAAAGCCACAGCTCGTGGTGCCCACTTGATCTCTCCCAAGGCACCTCCATGGGCACCCTGCTGCATTTAGCTCTCAACTATTTTCTTAGATGGGCTTTGTCTGGGCCTCTGTAAACAGTGGGCATCCAGGAAACGAGCCCTCAGTGTGGGCCTGGAACCACAGCTCTGCTTCCAATAGCAGGGATGAGCTCAGGCCCAGGGTGACCTCTCCCCCTGCTCGGCATTCTGGGCCTGTGGGCCTGATGTACAGAGCCTCTGCCCCCAAGCCCAGTGACTCACTTCCCCTCTCTGGGGCAAATCCAGCTTCTCATGGGATTTTCCTGGAGAAATAGCTGGTGGAGAACCCAAGTGGCTGACAGGCTGGTGCTGGAGCTGGGCCTTACCCTCACCAAGAAGCAGGAACCAGTGGGGTCACCCAGGCACTGTCACCCTCTGCTTCGCACCTGGCACTTTGGGGCTCAGTAGGCTCTGCACGATCATCTGACCCAGGAAGTGTAACTTCCCCTTGGTCTTAGCCAAGAGGTCTCCTTTCGTCCTAGCGAGTTGGTCCCAGGTAAAGTAGGAATGTTCTGACTCCAATTCCCCGGGCTTTGTGAAGACTCAAACAAGTCTGTAGTCAGTGGCATGGCACTGAGGGCTCCTGCCCCAGCTGTCACCCCTCTTTGTGGTGGGATTCCTCCATGCCTATCCCATGAAGTTCTCTAGCAACACACACACATTGCATGGGGAGGGCATACCAATTCCTCACTCCCCCCTAGAATCCTTTCTGAACTTTGTGGGGGGTTTGTCATGCCCCCTTTACTCTCTAACGACTCTGCTCTGCCCCAAACCGTAAGTCAGAACTGGGGTACAGAGGAAGAGGCCATTGTGCCCTTCCCACTGTACCAAAGGCATGACACGTACAGGACGGTAGGTCATCTTCCCACCAGACCCTGCTCCATCCTCAGGGTGACTAGTTGCCAGCTTGAGACAGGCAGGGGTGAAGGAGCAGGCCCAAGTTCATGAAAGGGGGCAGACATATTATAGGTTGGACCAGAGGAACTAGGGAGACAGGAATGTGGCAATGAACCAGAACTGGAGGAGAGAGGGTTTGCAGACAATGGGAGGCTGAAGCTGCTAGACAGACCCCAGCCCCTCCCCATACCTTGCAGTTCCCCAAACAAACCACACCAGAGCCACTTTTGAATTCAGTTTTATATCAAGCCATAAAAAAAAAAAATCCCTTGGATTCTGTCCTGAGTAGACACATACAAAATCAACACTATAAAAATATTAACAGTATTAATGTCATCAAACAAGCTAACATCTCCGAAGATATGAAGGAAGGCTTTGTTCATTGCTCACACTGGCCAGTTTTGTAAGGCAAGTACCTGGGAAAAGGGATAAATGTAGAGAAGGGGCTTCGGATCCCAGCCTGGGCCCTGAGAATCAGGGCTGGGTCAGTGCTGAGGAGGCTTTCATGGCGAGAGAGGAGCAGGGTCTGCGCAATAGCAGGTGCCTTAATGGGACACTGAGTTCCTGCTTTCCAGTATAGACCCTGTGGGACCCACTGGTCCCCATAACCAGTGACTAGTAGGTGACATGGCAAACAGCTGGAATCAAGGCTGCTAACAAGTCTGCAGGCAGATTCGGTGCCATCACAGGGACCTGCGTCACAGTAGGTGACTGTGGGGGCCATGAAGAACAGATGTGTGGCTGTCCCGGGCTCTTAGGGTAGAAGGGCCTCAGACAAGAGGTGTGGGGAACCTCTGAAAACTGGGAAAGACCAGGAAATATAGCCCCTGGGGCCTATAGAAGCAATGGGCCCTGACTACCCTTAGATTTCAGTCTAGTATCAGACATCTGATTTGCAGAACTGTAAGGAAAGTTCTAGTTCAGACCCACTCGATGTTTGGAAACTTGGTACAGCACCGACAGAAAGCTAACAGAGTGATTGCCAGACCCCTGAGCTCCCAGACTTCAAAGGGTGGAGCCTCAGAGACCGCCCCTTGGCTTGTTCCTACAGCAGGAAGGTTCAGCCTGAGAGAATCGGGAGGACCCCTTCTGGGTCACTCCCTAAACACACACACACACATGCACGGGGGCAGCCCACGTGGTGTGAATAAGAGGGCCCTCCAGGAGTGCTACCGGGGGCCACATGGCAGAGCCATGGGCCACCATGGAAGAGGTTCTGGTATAGCTCCACCGTGGCACATCAGAAGCCTCCTTCCAGACACCAGATCAGATAGAATCTTTTCCTTCTTCCTTTGATTTCACTTCTATCTCATGATAGCCCTGGGCTGAAGGAAGCAGGATAAATGAGGCCTCACTGCTGTCCTAGGGGGCTGGAGGGGACTACTCAGGACCACCCGAAGGAGGCCATTAAACCACAGACTGTGGTGCAACTGGCTCAGTGCGCCCAAGATGAATAATCATTTACAAGAAACTTCTTGCTCACGCCGGCTCCCCACAGCAGGATCTGGGCCCCATTGGACAGCGACTGTCTAATCTTGGCTGCCAGATATTGTTCCAGAGCCAGGGCTAGGCAGAAGCAGTGGCAGAATGTGGGAGCCGGTGCCATTTGAACATTGCCGGCTGGGGTGGTGCCTGACATCCACTGCGTGGTCATTAGCGTAGCAGACGTTTGGAAAAGCTAGCCAACTTTTATAAGTGAAAATAGGGGCCTGGAGGGCTCATGCACTTCGGTGTTGATGTCCAGGATATTCCGGATGCTCTTGACATCACTGCTTTGTAGGTTGCCCTTGATGGCCAGGATGGCATTCAGGTGGCCTTTGCTGGCAAGGAGAGAGAGCACCCTGTCAGTCCTGCTCACAGACACCCCTGCTCACAGCCCCTGCTGGCTGCCCTGGCTCCAGGCCCTGCCGCAGAACCTGCCGCCAGCCGCTCTGCCCAGTAGGCAGCCTTGCCCTCCCTGTCTCCCCGTCTCCAGACCTTCGCACTAGTTGTTACCCAGACATATCTCCTCACCCCCAAGGGGCACAACTCCTTCCCACCCTTTAAGTTTCAGCCAAGTGTCACCTCTCTGAACGGCTTTTCACTCTGGTCCAGCATTCCCTGTAATTCAAGATGCTTAAACCCTAGAACTTGGAATTTTCTCTTTCTGCTTAATTGTCTCATCAAGGTTGGCCCTCACTAGGCTGAAAGATACAGGAAGGGGACTGAGACCGAGCTTTCCCAGCACTTCACTGCAGCCTGGAGCACAGAACAGCGAATGCTGGTGAATGACTGTTGGTGTGATCAGAGGAGAGGGAAAAGTGCTTGGGTTAGTGGGCAGATGAACAAACAGGTCGGTACACGAGAAAGTAGAAGGATGGGTACGTGACCGTGTGGAAGGGTGGATGGATGGACAGGCAGATGAGCAGGCAAGCAGAGAAATGGACAGAGAACTGGACGGATGGACAGATCAGCAGAAGAATCGATAAGTGGGTAAGCAGAAGGACAGATGGGTAATTACCTGGGAAGTCAGATAGAGAGGTAGATGAATAGATGGCTTTGTGGGTGGCAGGAGAGTAAATTCCTAGATTAGCAGACGGGGGCTTGCCTGTGTGTAGGTCAGTGTATGTAGGTAGATGACTGAACAGATGGGTCAGCCTCAGACTAGAGCAGGCTGAGCTAGGTCAACCCGAGTGAAGACCAATTCAAACTTTCACGTCAGGTGACCCAGCGTAGGAGAGAGCACAGCACATGCTTCACCAGGTCCTCAGCCAAGACCCTGGGGGTGCCAGTCATACGCAGGCTGAGCGACAGGCCCTGGCCTCACTTTCATCTTTGAATACTACTATCATGTAAGGCTCAGCACATGAGTTGTGGAAATGCTACCTAGCCGTGCCATGACTGGCTATGGGTCACGTTCCTGCAGCTCCGTAGGCCTCAGGTGCAAACAATAAACAGCTAGCCGTTGTAGGGTCCTGGTGATGTCAACTGCTTGTAGTCCTGGCAAAGGTCTCAGCACAGTGCCGGGCATGACGCATGACCCCACCTGGATGGAGCCTTAGCATGGGAGTGGTCATGAGCACGCTCACAGCACAGTGGAACCTGGCACGGACCACCCAGTTCCCGAAGGCCCCTAGTGCTCACCTGAAGTCAGGGTAACGGGTGATGTATGTGGCCACCTCGATCTTAATGGCGCTGGGATCTTGTAGGCGGATAATCTCAGCAATGGTGGGGAGGGCAGGCTGCAGCCAGGCTGCAGTGGAGCCCTGCCGAGAGATGGCTGGTTGAAGGATGGTGCCCCTTCCCCACGAGGACACTTAGACTCAGAGCAGCGTCTGGCCAGGCTGGGAGAGGCCCTGTGGGGCTGCCCGGGGCTCTCGGGGTGAGTGGGGTGCTCACATTGTCAGTGCAGAAATGCTGAATGGCCTCGGCATTGGCCAGGATGTGCCCTGCCAGCTGCTGCTGCTGCTCGGCGGTCTTGAGGACCAGGCGCCTTTTGCTGAGCCTGATGATGTACTCCTTTACCAGGTGCAGGTGCACGGCCTCCACGAGTTCCTGGGCAGGCAGAGGCCGGGGGCGGGGGTGAGCCATGCACTGACACCCGCCCTAGGGGGGGAGGGGGCTCCTCTTGTCCATGAATTGAAGCTTCCAAGACAAAACGCCAGGGATACACAGAGGCAAAAGTGTGAACACACGTGGGGCGTGGGGTATAAACACTCATCGTCAGCTTCCAGACAGCTCCAAGCACCAGCCCTCACCTTCCGGAAACAATCCTGCAGCTCTGAAAACTCAGGCAGCCTGCTGTCCACAGTAGCGAGGATCTCCTCCAGTGTCTCATCTGGGTTTGCCCAGCGGGTCTGCGTGAACTTCTTGAACAGTGGCTAAAAGAGGCGAGAGGCAGGATGTCTGGTCACGCCCAGAAAGGAAGGGCAGCCGGGCGCAGACACCCTCACATAGACACTCATGACCAGCAGGGTCCCCAGGGCTTTCCAGGAGCTGGCTGGCTTTCAGATCCCCGCTCTGAGATCGGTTGCAGAGGCAGGTCCGTGTGTACCCTCCCTCCAAGGTCATCCACCCAGCTGTGGTGCAGGAGATCTTGCCAGGTCAGCCTGTCTGCAGCCCTGAGGTCTTTCCCCTGCTTCCCTCTTAAATAAATAAATTCCTGCATAAACAAGGCTTTGCGTCTGGCTGGCCTGAGCCCTGTGCCAGGTCTACCAGGGTCACCCTGTAGGCTTCCCAGACCTACTTGGCTGTCCACTGCACCTCTGGTTCTGAAGGTGAGCAGGGAGCCTCTCCTCTGCTTCCTGAGGGGCCCCAGGAGATGGAGCCTAGCTATCTAAGGTCCTGAACCCCAGGAATGGTGTGTGGGGGGGACTGAGAATTCTGCAGATGTTCTCAGCCCTGTGACCCTGCCAGGCCAAGGCAAAGCCAGGATATGGGGGGGGGGGTCAGCTGGAGAGCCCTTTGCGGTGCTGCCGTTGGGACACCCCCATCTGTGCCCCCCACAGGTCCGAGGCCGGTGCTTCTGCACCCCCTTGCCTGCCTCCCCTCCTGTGCCAGGTTTCAGGATGCCCCCTCTCCCCCCCGAACGGGGATCCTGATACCTTCAGGTCCAAAAACAGGCTCTGGAGCAGGGTGTCAAAGCCGTGAGCCTTAAGCTCTTTCAGAGGCTCCAGCAGGTGGTTGAGAGAATCAGGAGGCATCTGCCACTTCTGCTCCACAGACATCCTGGAGAGTGAATGGCAAGAGGTCGTGACAGCCTGCTCAACCTACAGCATCGTGCAGTGAGCCTTGGACTAGTCTTCCTAAATTAGGTCTTGCTCTAGGACCCCCACTATTTTCCCTATCCCTGTGGGATCCAGGCCAAGTCTCCCCATGGATGCCCCGTGCCCCAGGCACATGCCCTTCCACCTTTGGCAAGTCTCCAGCTCTCCACCCTTCGCTTCTGCTTCACAGTTTTATTATAAGGCTAAACTAATAAATAAATAAATCAATTGCATCCTGCTGACTCCTCCAGCACCCCACCCCTTTGCTGGGGCGGCTCCAGGCCCAGTCATTTCCTCACAGCCTTGTGACCCTTTAATTTCCCTTCTTTGCTCCACCTTCCATCTGCCCCGTCTCTCCATCAGGCTACTCTGCCCGGCACTCTCACCGGAACGACTGGCAGTTGTTGATGTTGGCGATGATGTTGACCCTGTAATTTTTCAGCAGTTTGTTTTTCTCTAGAAATTCATCAAAGGCACGCTGGTAGCTGACAGAACCAGAAAGGGCACCTTCAGGACCAGTTCAAACACGGGGACAACAGAAACTACTCCCCTCAGTCTGCAGGGCTGCTGGGAGGGGCCATAAGCTCCCAAACAATACATTACAAGCTGCAAAACCTGAAGGCCAGAGGAGCTGAGCCCCAGCAGAGCTCTAGAGAAAGTGCTGCCTGACTCTGGGGTCCCCACTCTTTCCCCTCTTTCCCAGTCTTCTGTTCTGCAGCTGTTATAGTCGGCTGATGGTGTTCTCAGAAGTGGGGACAAAACCAAGTTAATTCTGAGGGTGTCATGGGAAGGGACTTGCTCTGCCAGGGAGCTTTGTTGATGAAGAGTCAGGAAGCACAGACTCCCGGCGGAGGTCACCCCACCTGAATGGGAGCCCCGAATTGTGCCTGAATTGGAGCGGTGGCAGAGGACCTTGGGCTGTAGTTGTCAGGGCAGAGCTGACTTAACCTGACCTCCCCCCCCCCCCCCGACACAGGTGCAAGAAGAGCCATGGCTCTCGGAGGTGCCAGGGACCCCGGCTGCTGTGAGCACACCCACCTCCTCAGTAGGGCAGCCAGCTCCACCAGCAGCAGCTGCTTTATCTGCACCCCCACCTCGGGAGTAATGTTCTCAGCCTTGTCCTGGCCAAGGGAAACGATCTGCAGGGAGCACAGGATGAGCACAGCAGGTGCCTCTCTGGACTGGGGCAGGGGTGGAGTGTGGGAGGGAGGAGCATGGGGCTGGACCCCCCACCCCCACCCCGCCAAAGGTGAGCTGTGGCTGTCGCTGTGCACCTTGGGCCTGAGGGGCAGATAGTGGTACCTGGATGATGTCAATGGCCAGCTCACTGTGGCAGCGGCCATCCAGGCTCTGGGGAGCCACATCCTGGGCCCAACGCTGAGACTCTAGCTCCAAAGCTCGGGCCATGAGCGACTTCACATTGGTCTAGGGGGAAAAATACAGGTCCCAGTAGCAGTGAGCATGTCACCAAGCTCATCCAGAAGGTGTCACACGTGGGGAGTCCTGCACCCTGCCTGATGTCCCTTCTACCTCCAGCCGGCCCTCCCAGGCCGTGTCCCTAATGTTTGGACTCACCACCTCATTGGACAGGAACATGGCCTCCAGAAACCTGATTTGCTTGGAAGGCAGGAGGCTCCCCAGCTCGATGCCCTGCAGCTCCTGTGCCAACTTAGGGCTGTTCAGAATATCTCTGTGAGCAGAGAGACGCTGGCATGAGAGAGACGTTGGCATGAGACACGCCCCGGCAGCACCCCGTAGCTTAGCCCACTGCCTCAGCTGACACCCTCAGCTTCTGAGCCTGTCAGACCACCCTTGTTTAGTTCAGGCTGGAGTTACCCTGCCTCTTCTCCCCGCCCCCAACTAGTTTCTCAGACCTCGTGGTCTGGAGCCTGCCCTGCGCCCCCAACCAGCCCTCACCCTTTCCTGCCCGGCTGATGGAAGGAGTTTCCTCCTGCCCTCTGCTTCTGCCCTGGCCACCACCAACGCCTTCGCCCTGAGCCAGCTTTCAGATCTGATCTGTCTACCAGGTTCCCCCTTTGCACAGATACAACACACAGCTCCTGACTCCACTGGCCCTGCCAGCCAGCCTCAACATTCCCCCAGGTCAGGCCATGGCTGAACAGGAAGGGCCGCCCTGGAACTGCTCCATGGAGCCTTCTTGGTGCCTCAAGTGGCCCAGAACTCCCAGGGGTCCTGCCCAGCCCTGGCACTTCCTCAAGTCCCTTTGTTTGCCTAGAACCTTGAGAGTGACCCTCTCTGTGCCCGTCATCCAGTTTGGATACATGTGAGTCATGCTTTGTCCCCAATAGGTCTCAACATGCTCCCTTGGACTCCATGTTCAGGCTAGCCTTAGCTGCCTGCTTTGCAGCTGCACCCCAAGCCAGGAGACCCCAGGGTGTGACGGGGCAGGAAGGGGGCATGAGTGCCCGGCATTTCCTGGTGAGTCAGGACACACAGCAGGAGCTATCCCGGGAAGCCCGTGTCTGCTTTCCCTGTGTCCTCCCGGCTCTTCACCTGCCCCCTTTCTCCATCCCTCCCACAGGAGGCTGGCTCAGCACCTGGCCAATTGCTTACACACTCCTGACACTGGATACCCCCAGCCTTTCCTCCTGCAGACTTCACACTCAAGGTCTGAGGAATCAGTAAGAATTCCTCGTCTCGAGTGCTGTGGAACTTTCACTCTGTAACACAAGTCACTCCCCGCCCCCACCCCTTCCCCCCCACCGGCTGGTGTGGATGACAGGTAGGCACACTCTGGGATTCACAGAGTCTGGGCCAATCAAAGGATGCCTGAGGCTGGGCCTAGCCGAGGACCCACGGTCCATCTACAGCTAGTACCGCTCCACTGTTGCTTCACCGCTGACTTGAGACACAGCAGCTCAGCTTCCAGAACCGTCACTCCACTTGCCTGGAACACTCTCCTCCCTATTACTTCCCTGTACGCCCTGTCCCCTCCCTGCCTGCCTGTACATCCATTAAAATGTGAACTGACTCAGGACGTAAGACTCCCTGACTCCCCCAGGCCTGGTCTCCCCTCAAGCCCCGAGCTCTGCCCAGCTCCACCCATCCGCCCTCCCCCCACGCCACCCATGTCCAGATGCCCCTTTCACGGCCCCTCCTCCTCGTTCCATGTGAGTGGGGCTGCCCTCCCCCGAGAATGAATAACAAAGCCTGTTTTCTTGCCTCCCTTCCCCCAAGTGCAGAACGGCAAGGTCCAGGAAACGGAAGTGCAAAGCCAACCTATGGGGCACAATTCCCAACTCTCCCCCTTCACCCCGACACCGTGGGTTCAGGTGTCTCTGCTCCCCGTCCCGTAGAGGGGACCCACCCCACCCGCTGGCGTGGCTCACTTGGGGTAGAGGTTCTGCACCCAGAGCAGCAGCAAGTAGGCGTCCCTCTCACACAGCTCGAACTGCGCCATCGCGCCCAGGTGCTCCGCGAAGTGCCTGTGGTAGCTCTCGGCGTAGGTGTGCACCACGTCGAACTCGTCGGGGAAGAGCGGTTTCAGCCGCTCGGCCACCGCCTCCAGGTCCTCCCTCATGGTGCGGCCCATGTGCAGGAACCTGCTCTCGGCCTCCGAGCGGCCGTCGGCCGCCAGCGCGGGCTGCGCGTCCAGGCGCTCGGCCGCCACCTCGGCCACCACGCCCCTCCAGAGCTGCAGCCAGCGGCGCGGGCGCGTGGCCTCGAGCGCGGCCGCCGCGGGCCCCCCGGCCGCCCGCCGGTCCTCCCGCTCCTGCTGCGACACCACGGCCAGCGCCTGGCGCAGGCGCTCGGGCGCCGCCTCCAGCGGCCGCCGCAGCACGCCGAGCACCTGGTCGCGCAGCAGCGCGTACAGCGCCTCCACCTTGCTCTGCCGCCACACCAGCTCCTCGCCGCTCGTGCCGCCCGCCGCCGCCGCCGCCTCCAGCGCCTGCTCCAGCGCCAGCACCTGCCACGCCGTCTCCAGCCGCCCGCGCTCCAGGGCCTCCTTGAGCTCCTCCACTGGAGCGCAGAAACCCGCGTTAGGACGAACCCGGCCAGGGGCACGAAGAGGCCGAGATTCCAGGGACGAGACCAATGTCCCAGAAAAGACCCTAGCCCAGGGCCCCCTCTCCTAGACTGGCGGCTCGCCCAGCCGTCTCACCTGCCCACTGTCCTGGCTGGCTGGTTTATGGGCCCCTTACGCCGCCCAAACCTGGACCAGTTTAGCCGCGCTACTACTCCAGCCCCACGATGGCCGCAGCCTACCTGTGAGCAGTGGGCCGGCTGGCTTCGGCTGGGACTGGGGCTGGACCTCCGGATCGGATAATCCGGGTTGACCTCTTTTCTTCTTTTTCCCTTTGGTGAAGACACTGAACATGTTGGCCAACCCTTTGGATTTCTTCTTCTTCTTTTCGGCCTCCTCCTCCTCTCTGTCAGGAACGGTCCCAGGCTCCTGGGGTGGTACCAGGTCCTCGGAGGAAACCTCTGACATGGAGGCCTCTGATTCCGCTTCAGACGTCGAGCGTGGCTTTGGGGGGCTTCCAGGGACGTTCAGGGTCCCTAGTACAGACTGCTGGCCAGGAAGCCCTTGGAAGAAAGTCACCATCTTCAGCATCACCCTGGCTCAGGCCTGCAGGTCAGAGGTGGAAGATGAAGTCATCAGAATTCACCGCGAGTGGCTCCCAGGCCTGTGCAGAGCCACCTCCCAGCCATGACAGGGCTGTTTTCTTTTCCACCACCAGCACCTTCTGGCCCCAACCTTCCTTGGCCACAGGTACTGTAGTGCCCACAGCTTGTCTTCCGAGGCAAGGAAGACACTGGAGGCTCCAGGCCTCCCAGACCTGGGGGAGGGGCAGTCTCTGCACGTGGGGAAACCCTCCCTTGATAGTGGAGGGAAAGGAATGTGAGGAGGGAGGACCTCTCTGACTCCACCAGCCTCTGGTGAGGAGACAGGACACAGGTTACCATTTCTCGGGACAGTAAGAGCCAGCCTAAAAGTTTCACAGCCATGGGGTGGTCACAGAACCCTAGCACCCCCCCACTGAGACCAGCCTCTGCTTCCTCCCTCTGCCTCCTTTCAACATTTGTAACTAGCTTTATACCACAAGCAAAATATACCACAAGCAAAAACACAGCAGTTGTACTGGGACCACAAGAGGAACAGAGCCTGTCCCTTATGCTGGCTTAGGATTGGGGCTCAGACTTCAGACCCTGGGCACATGACCCAGGAAGCCTTTTGCCTGGGAGCAAGGCTCAGGGCTTCCTGAGGTCACACAGCAACTTGAGTGTGGAAGCCATGCTGCTTGGCCTCCAGCTTACTACTCTGCTTGCTTACAAATGGGGTGACGCAACTTCACAAAACCTTCTGTTTCCACTCCCTTCTGAGGTGCCCACCCCATCCCTTCACTCTCCAGCAAGCGTGTTATTTAGTTTAAAATAACCTTGTGGTCAACAGCTTGAGCTTGGAGGCCAGAGCATCTGGCTTAAAGGACTGGCTTTTCTCAGGCCCACACCCCCTGCTGTATCTGGATTGTCAGAGGGAGGACAACCAGCGGGAACATAGCTAGCCTAGAGGGACGAAGCAGGCAGGGGCAGGTAAATAGTGTGGCCCATTACCAGGAGGTGGCCTGCCTGTCCCGTCCCCCAAAAACAAACACCCCAAGCTGTAACTTCAGTTCATCAAAGTGACCTGGAGGGACCCAGGAACCGCCCCATGAGGCAGGTGGGAAAACCCACCATCACAAAGGAGAAACTGAGGCTGCAGAGGGAGGTGCTTGCCCCAAACACAGCAGACTCTAGGGACGCTGATAAGGCCTGTTTCCCATGGCTCCTCTGTCTCCACCAGCTTGGCCGCCTGGCCCATTTCCTGAGGGACTTGTTCCATAACTAGGGCATAGGTAGAGCACCCTGACCAGACAGGAAGCCTGGGCCCTCCACCCCAGCTCTTATCACCCTCACTAGGTACCCTGAACAGAGAGAGCCCCCTTCTTTAACCTTATGAGGCCTGAGAATTTCGCATAGGATGACTTAGTGTTTAAGGCCTGTGCCAACCTATCCGGTTTGCAGGCAAACACCCATATGGGCTGGGCTGGCTGATGGAGCTACTCAGCCCTAACCTGCATGTCTGGTCCCAGTTGTCCCGTCAGAGGCCTGTTTGTACAAGAGGGAACGGCGGCCGTGGGCTCAGCGAGACCTCTCTCCAGTGTGAGGGCTAAACAATTTCCTTCCTCAGTAGGTCTCACTTTTCCCATCTGTGGAATGAGGATGAGCCCTCTCTCTCCCTCCTCACCAGTGCTGCTCAGAGGCTGTGGCAAAATCACAAGCCAGGAGCTTGGTCCAGGATGGGCCTTGTAGCCGGTCCCGTGTCCCTGTGACTGCAGGCTTCCCCCGCCCCCCAGGAGGCAGCAGAAAGAGTGATGAGGTGAGGTTTAAAGTATCACCAAGCTGGGCCCACTGAGGCAGAAAAGGCACAGGGGATGGCTGCCTCTGGTGGCTGGATGGCGTCACCTCCTTCAGTTCGATTCTAGACACCGACTGGACCACAGAGAATCTCACTGGTCTTGCAACCCACTGTCTCTGTCACCCTCACAAGAGGCCACCCGGTCAGGGAGTCCCGCGGGTGCTGGGACCTTCCTATTGTAACCCTGAACCTCCCTAGCATTTGTCCCGGTTTAACCAGAGTGAGCGCTTCGCTGCTCGCGGGAACCCTGGCGCCAGGGCCTCAGGGTAAAGCCTGTGTGTCCCTAGCAGTGGGTGAGCTGGAGGTCAAGGGACCCGAAATATCCCGCCCGCGTCTCCTTGGCCGCTCAGGGCCATTCCCTCGGGGAATCCGGCAGGAGACCCTGTGTCCGGACTGGAGTGGAAGCTACGCAGAGCGGTAGGGACAGAGGCACAGCGGCGGAGGTCACTTACTGTGTCCGGGACAGGACGGCCTTAGTCCTGGCCCTGGCGGGGCACAGCCTGAAATAGCCACAGGCTCCGCCCGGGCTCCGCCTGCCCCGCCAGCCGCAACCGCGGAAAATCCGCTGGCGGAGGCCAAGGTCCCGATTCCAGAGCTGGGGGGCGGGGCCGGGCCGGTAGGGAGAGGGGCAGGGTCACTTCGCTTTTCCCAACAGCCTGGAGAAAGCGTGGCAGAGCTGGCCACGGGTATGTGTGCACAGGCAAGGGCATCAGGGGGGCCACGAGTTCCGCTAGGTGTCGGGCCATTGTCCCACGACGCTCTCTGATTGGCTGCCTAGCAGGGCGCACGCCCAGAGCTGCTGTCCCGCGTCACACAGTCAGCACCTAGTTAGATCTGGGAAGCGCCCTCTCCTACCTCAACAGCCACGTGCTGTTACTTCTCTGAGCCCCACTGTGTCCGTGCAAGCCTGGAAGGCCAGCTGGGTACAGGGCTAACACTGGGATCTCTCAAGACCTCGTATCACCAAGCTCTGAGTGATAGGAGCGCCCTCATCTTTACCCCGAGGTCACAGAGGCAGAGATGACCGGCAGTCCTCACCCGAACCGCAGTCCTCACCCGAACCTCCCCCAGCTTTCCTAGGCTGGACCTGAGCCAGCTCCTCAGGATTCCCTTCTGAGGGCCTTTCCTCAGGGTCTGCCTTGGGGAAGGTGGGGAAAGTGAACTAGCTTAGAGAGGGGATGTTTCACCCCCTAGGAATTTCTGCCCCCTGGAAAATGGACTCACTCAGGAATTTCCCATGGAGACACCAGCTTTTTGTTTTGTTTTTGCCTCTACTTGGAGCTCAGCTCCTCCCCATCTTTTGTTTGGGCCCTCTCTTCCCTGTCAGCCTAAGCACAGCTTTGAGGGGAGAGGGAAGGGCAGCTATGTGGGTGGGTTATGTTTAGGGGTTGTCCCGGGAAACCCAGAACTTCCTCTTCCTTCTGGGGAGCAGTGGCCAAGTGCTGGGTTGAAGAAGACTCTCCTCCGTCCCATACCTTGGCAAGTGCAGAAGGCTGCAGGGAGGTGGCTGGTGCCCACCCTTATCCCAGCATTCAAGAGGCAGCCCGGTCTCAGAGGAATGTCCAGGGAGTCAAGGCTACACAGTGAGACCCTGTCTCAACACACAAGCAAGATGCCATCTCTTGTTCCTGAGGCCCTAACGGGTGACATTTTCTGTTGACCCCCCAGGGCCCAAGCTGGGGGTTGGTGCCTCTGCTCCACAGGGAACCTGGGGGAGACCAAGAAGCTTGGCATCTCACCCACAACTGCATGCAAAAACAGAAAGCGGACACTACAGGACTGCCCCGGACTCTTTCCCAGCTCTGCTCTGTCCATCCAGTTCTTAACTTCTAGTAAACAATTAGGAAACTGCACAGATAGGGTTGAGAGAGAGAGAGAGTCAGGCCTTCAAGAATCCACATCTGCGTGGAGCCTAGGGGCTCTGGTGTGGGACTTCCATCTTGTCCCAAGATGCCCACAGTAGCTTACTCAGAGCAGACTCAGGGCCGGCAGAAGCCAATGCCACCTATCTGTGTGGGCACACCAAGCACTTCCCTGTCCAAATTCAGGACGAGGGTCAAAGGTCCTATGTGAAGTTCCCAACGCAAATGGAATTTGAAAACCAGGCGATTTGGATAACATTTAGAGGGCCCTCAGGACCAGAGAAAGGTTAAGTCCTTTTCATAGTCTCTCAAAGGCCAGCCAAGGAACAGATCCCACAGGAGAGAAGCATCTGGATGGCTTGCCTGGCCACCTGCTGCCCCAACCCCAACTCCAGCAGCCTGAGAGTTGTGGCAGCAGCCAGGAGTCGGCTGGCAAAGGCTCCTAGTCCGAACATGGCCAAGAGTGATGCCTGCTGCTTGCACGCAATCCAGCGTTAGCCTCTCCCCCCCCCCCCAAGCAGCAACTGCTGACTCTTTATTTCTTGGGTGTTTGTTTGTTTGATCTTTACAGCCCAGGCATGCCTGGAACCAAAAATCATCCTGTTCTACATCCTGACTGCGGGGATGACAGGCATGTACCACCACAGGCTCTTAGCTTATGTTTTTAATCATTATAACATGTATAACATGGAATGTTCCATTTTAACAGTGTTGGGCATTCTAGCTGTTGGCAGTTAGTACACTTGCACTGAGTGCCCCTGCAACCACTCTCCATCCACAGAACTTAAAAATACACAAGTGTGCGCGTTTATATGTATGTACACACTTGGGCGCAGATGCTCAGGAGTCCAGAAGAGGGCGTTGAATCCCTGGAGCTGGAGTTAACAGGGAGCTGTAAGGCTGCTCAATATGAGTGCTGGAAACTAAATGGCGGCTCCGAAAGAGCAGGAGCTTAACAACTGAGCCATCTGCTCCAGCCCCACAGAATTCTTTTCCCCTGCAAAATTGAGCCACAGTCCCCATTATGCAGCACCACCCACTTCCCTTCTATCCCCTGAGTCTCTGCTACCCCATTCTATGGCTGTGTCTGCTCTGTGGATCCCGTGAGTGGGCGGATAAAGCCATCTCCTTTTGTGGTGGTGTGGTGATGCTGCATAAATGGAGAAAGACTAATCTTGGTGTCATTTACTCAAAATTGGACCTGATTTATTAAAAAGAGTGTGGGTCTCTCTTGTTCTGGTAACCTAATTAGGGTAGGTCTAATCTAAGAGTCTAATTTAAGGGTCCTAATCTAAGGGTCCTGAATCAAGGCTGTTCTCTCCCTAAGCTGAACAGCACAGTAACAAAAAGGAATGAACAACTTTGGTCTTCATCTTTTACAGATTTTTACATAAGATATCTTATGGTCTTATAAGAGAGGGAGGGAGCTGGAGAGATGGCTCAGAGGTTAAGAGCACTGGCTGTTCTTCCAGAGGTCCTGGGTTCATTCCCAGCAACCGCATGGTGGCTCACAACCATCTATAAAGGGATCTGATGCTCTGTTCTGTCATGCAGGTGTACATGCAGCTAAAGCCCTCATATACATAATAAATACATAAAAAAAAAGAAAGAAAGAGAGGGAAATTTTTTTTTTCCTGGCTCTACTGACTCAGAATAGAACACAAATTCACAATCAGGTTTTATAAAGCTAAACCCATGTTGTTTTCAACATATTTCATAGGGGGAGGAGTGGGCCTTTTTATCGGGGGAGGGCTGTGGCATTGTCTCCTTTGCGCCTCACTGCTTCCAGCATGATGTCTAAGGCCTGTCGAGTGCACACACATTACCTTAAATGAGTTTGTTGTGTTTAGCAGTTTCCTCAAGATTAAAAGCTTCAGTTTGGGAGGGAGGCTCCTAAGGACATGGACGATTTACAGGGAGGTGAAACAACAGGGCTCTTCCATCCAGCAGGGAAGAGCTGGTTAAGACAAGAAGCAAATAACTCAGAATAGCTTCGGGATGTTCCTGAAACTGACCAACCTCACTAGGCTTCTTCAAGCTCTGAGCAGTAGGAGTGGCTAAGAGATACTCAGATAAACCGGGCCGCCTAGAACACCCCATGACAGCTGAGCCTGCAGGGCAGAACAGAGATCAGCCAAATCGGCTAGACGTGCTGGAAGACCCTCAGAGCCCTGCTTGAGCTACCTGTAGAGGACACCCCTACCTACAGGTGGTTCACTGTGAGTTTCAGGCCCCACCGTTAGGAACCGTCACCGTGCTGGTGGCGGCTTTTGGTAAGAACAGCGGCCTTGAGTCAGTTCTCATCCTGTAAGTGACCCCTCACATACACACCTGGACACGACCCCCAAAAGCTCATTGTCTCACCGAGTGGGACCTCGTATCTGTAGTGAGGTTTATTTCCTCTCAGCAGACATTGGAGCCATCTCCCCAGGGACAGTGTGCCACAACAGGTACAAACGAGGCACAGGAGGCTAGTATAATCAAAGCGAGGCCTTCAGCTGAGCATGCAGGATTAATTATGTTTGCAGTCCAAAGTGTACTAAGATAACATTTTTCTTAGAGGTCAATTAATTCTGAACAGGCTGAACGTGCAGTATGTAACCAGAGTGAGTACGTTGTTAAAAACGATGTCAAAGTTCAACACCAGCCTGGTTACAGGTTGGCTGAGAGCTTGGTTTGTAAAGGCAAAGTTTAAACCGAGTTTCTCTGGGAGGCCACCCCACAGGGTTTTTTGTTGTAGTGAGTCTGATGTTCTCGAGGCCCAGCCATGCCATTGAGCGGGCTGGAGTTTTCCTGTAAATGTCCTAATTGTGCTCTCTCCTGTGGATGGGCCGTATTTTGTGTTCTCAGTGGGCAGGTTGGCCGCTGTGGATAGTGCTGCAGGGGACACTGACCTAACTCAGAGCTCCCAGCTTCCGGTTCGTGTGAATGGACAGTTGACTTTCTCAGACCTCCAGAGTTGCCAGGCTAGGCTCTGAGTGTTTTGTGTTTGCTAATAGATTCCATCATAGCTATATGAATTAGGTACTACTGCCTAACCATCCCTTTTCACAGATGAGGAAACTGAGGCACAGATAGGCCCCTGCCATCTGCAAGTTAATGATGAAGCTACACTCTGCTATACCCAGGGTTACTTTCTTTCTCTCTCGTTTCTTTCTTTTCTTCTTCTTTCTTTCTATCTTTCTTTCTCTCTCATTCTCTCTCTCTCTCTTTCTCTCCCTCTCTTTCTTATTTTGTTTTTTCAAGACATGGTTTTTCTGTGTAGCCTTGGCTGTCTTGGACTCTCTTTGTAGACCAGCCTGGCCTTGAACTCACAGAGATCTGCCTGCCTCTGCCTCCCTGAGTGCTGGGATTGCAGGCATGTGCCACCATGCCAGGTTCAGGGTTACTCTATCTGAACCCCAGCTCTATATGAAAGTCAGATGCAGGCAAGCCAGGAGTCTGCGTGCGGAAACAGGAGGCGTTGTCCTCCATTCTGTCACAGGGGCTGGGTAGCAATATTTTTCATTGCTCAATATTTTTCATTGCCTTATTCAGTCAGCTGATTAAACCATCATGGGCAATACAAAGGGCAGCCCAGCTCTGGCCGGACAATAATACAAGGTGGCTTGTTATTGACTCTCTATTCATTCCCTGGCTGGCTAAGAGAGGAGCTGGAGGAAGTGCTCAGAAAGAGAACCTGAAAGCAGAAGGAAAAGCATTGTGGGGCAGAACTCAGGAGGTACAAATGCCACATGAGGAGACTAGGCAGGTGTTGAAA